CTTCTGCATTGTTTAATCAAGGGAAACTGAAATTTCTTAAAGTCCTGCAGAAGAACAAAGATTTGGAATCGGTAATTGAATCTTTCAAGACACTAATTCAAGTCAAGATGAGATTGCCACAGCAGGAAACATGATTCTCACGGCTCTATATGGAAAAAAAGAGACAAAACTAAACGATTTAAGATATAAACAATACGTATCTTTATCATTCAAAAATAAGACCAGGGGTCGTATTTTTGAATGTGTTCGAATTTATTCGCATGCGACTAGTTCGAACGAAAAAAAAATCGTACACGAACGTAAAAGCGTATTTTCGAACGCAATTCGAAAGTTTAATTCGCATACGAGAATCCGTTAACCCAAATTCACCGGCAACGCCGCAAATTCGCACGAAATTAAGAAAAGAAGAGGTAGAGGTGACAGGCGACATTTATTTGACTGACAAGTTTATTTTACTTGTTGCAGCTGACTTGAAGTTTTTTAGTTTTTTGTGATTAGCTCAATTTTCTTCACAGTGTTAACGTGTTTTGGCTTGTGTTTTCGTACTTATCTGTTTTCTCTGTTTCCAATATGGACAAAAAAATAAAAATTCTGTTCGGAGGATTTGTATCTTCCGAACAAAAAAAAGAGAACTGATAGATTTTATGGAAGAAAATAGATTAGAAAACCTGCAAAAAATTATTGTAGGTAAACAATTTTATTACTATGTAAAATACTTGGCCCGGATGCTTATTCTTAAGGAACAAAGCGGAGGGTGCTTTGGGGAACATTTTCACAGTATACCTATGTCGAATTAAAAATATTTGTTATACTTATCTTTCTCGGTATGCTCAATGCAGATGCCCTAGATGGAGGTACCAAGTGGGGCTCCAAAAGTTCTATTAGTTCCTCTGCCAGAGGCTTTGTTAAACGGTATAATTTTACAAATTGTTTGTCTGATAAGGCTTCAAGAGGGTTTAAAAATGCATGGTATACTCTATTCTCCACATTCGCTAACATTTCTGCGTCTTCTAAGGCATTTAAAACATTTTTTTCAATTAAAAAATTTAGGCCGGCCATCTCACTTATGTAAACAATTAAAAACCAAACTAAATGCAAAAGTCAGAAATGTCAAACTCCATGTGTTTACCGCTATTCGAATGGTGAATACCCACTCGAGCAGTCGTGTACGAAAATCGTCGTATAGGTACGATGCGTTCGAAACCAACTCGAAAATACGAATCATCGATTTTCGTTCGAAATTCATCATCTTTCGCATACGACTTCCATTCGAACGGTTTCGAAAATACGAGCCCAGCATTTCCTCATTGCCCCCAACTGAAGCTGCTGAACTAGAACATTCACTGAGAGTCTACTGTCAGGTGCAGCAGTTGGTATCCGGTCAAGCCACACCTAACGAGCAACAAAAATACCCAAGTGAGTGAAGATGGCAAAAAACTAGTAGTGGTCTTGTGCCAGTACCAACTACTTTGGACCCTGCACCAAACTCAATACTCCGGTACATTTCATGTAAATGTAAAAAGGGCTGTCAACGTAATTGTGGATGCAGGAAGGCGGGACTCCATTGTTCCCCAATATGCGCATCATGCGAAGGACTGTGTAACAATGTTGAGCCCCCAGAAGACAGCTCTGACATAGACGTAGAAAAAACTGAAGAAAAAGAGAGAGGTATGTTGGATCTGACAAGTTATTTTGTAGTCATTTATCTCTCCTTGATATATGTGTCTTTCCTCTATTTATATTCGAGGATAGCGACTCCCGACGCTGACGATGGAGCAATAAAACCCTGAGCCAGGACCCGATGCTATCGAAGAACCTCAGTACGATGCGGAAGGTATGTTTAATCTCACAATCTATTTTGCAATCTTCATCTCTTCTTGATAAATGACTTAACTTTAAACTTGTTTAAACTTTTATTTTCCAGAACAAGCAGAGCCAGGACTCATCGTTATCGAAGAACCTCAGCCAGGGCCTTCCAAAAGACAACGGCTCATATAAATTTTGCATATTATAATTTATAATCATAATAATATATGATCATAAGTAACGAGATTTTAAGTTTTATTTTGTTACGAGTTCTACCTACCTACTGAATTTGCATAATTTTTGTCTTTTTAATTACTTGTGTGGAAAACCAGGTGACATTTATCAAATTACAGCATCCATAAACATTAAATATTGAAATGTAAAAAGTGGGTTTTGCATAAACTGCTAAACATTTACAATTTTCAACTCGCACTAGAAACCGAACGATTGGTCTGAAACAAAAAAACTACATACTGGTATTTGTAGAAAATTTCAAGTACTTTAATTTCTGTTAACAGACCATTTACCAAAACTTGATAGTTTTCGAGTTTTATTACGCAAAAAAACCCGAAAAAAAAACGGTTTATTTTGTTTTTTTTTATTGTTGCATCACGAAATTTTGTCCGCAAACCCCAGATTCGGATTAAGCACCCCAAAAAATATATGGAATGAAAAAATTAGAACTACCCCAAAACTCTCCTAGCAAAAATACAATTTAACTGAACTAATATCTCTGAGGGCTTTTTTTTAATTAATGGTTTGTGTAGAGGTGAAAGATTCTATGCGTTTTTACTTTTCATTTCTCTAGATAACTGTTCAGTAGTTGTTTCGTAACTTCTTCAAATCTCATTCCTCCCATTTTGAGGCACAATAATTTTACTATCAATATTTTTAAAATTTAAATTTAAAGTGGTTATCACTTACTTCATTATCTTTTATGTAAATTACGCAGAAGTAATGATTATTATCAAATATACGATTTATTTTTTTACAACAATACGTAATCTTTCATAGGAGTTTAATGTAATTCTTGTTGGCTTAGCTACAAAATACAGTAAATTTTCGCTGCAATTCAAGCTGAAAACAAAATCTCTGATCGACAAACACCTGATACGCAAAACACATGACGCATCCTTAAATCCAACCTCTGATTGGTAGATGGAGATATTTTGTGAGAGAAAAAATGTGGTCATCTGTCTAACCAGATCTTTACATATGTGGGACAGGTGGTAAGTAAGAAGAATGACCGGCTAGCCACGAGTTCTTCCACAAAAAGGATTCTGTGTTGTAACCACAAAATAATTCCACCAAAAATCGTTGATGTTGATCGGAAACAGGATATAGCATTATTCCGATTGAAAGTGAAGGTAGAAATTTTAAAATTTGTGTATTATTCGATTTCTACACGGATCTCGTGGATTTCATTAGTACATTTTAATTAAATTAAGCAACGTCAAAGCCGAAATCAATATATGATCAGAAATACATGTTAGGTTACTTTTAAAACTGCTTTCCTATGATAAGTTTGTAGTTGTTTCTTTGGTAAACATTTAATTTAATATTTTGTTTTTTTGTTGCCACCTGGATCGCTTCCTAATTTAGTTCCGTCTGATATCGCTAAAGCGCAACGAAGATAGCAAGTGGTGAAGAAAATATTTACATTGATGTTGCCAACATTTCTGGTTAATAAAAAATAAAAAAGTTTTGAGAGAAACTGGAGAATATGTTAGAAGATGAGGTCCATCCAAAAAACGCTTAATGGCGGCTGTAGATGCTATATTTATAATGTTTCCGTAATAGTTTTCAAACAGAAGTTAGAAAGATCGATGAACTGAGGAATGAAGAAGTTCTAAGTGACCGACAATTAAAAGAAAAGTAAATAACGCTGCTAATAATAAAGCAAAAAAGGGCATCAATGTAGATGGAAAATTTTTAAATAACCTTAAATTTGCAGATGATATCGTTCTTATTGCAGACAGCTTTGATCAGGCACAGATAATGCTCCAAGAACTCCATACTGCCACAAAAAGAGTTGGTCTTAAAATAAATTTTTCAAAAACACAATTTATGACAAATTTAGTCCACAACAAAAACATCTCAGTAGAAGATAAAGATATTAAGCCAGTTGACTCCTATAAATACTTAGGCCATGAGATCAGAATAAGTCGCGACAACCAAACAATTGAGCTGAAAAGAAGAATAAACCTCGCTTGGGCTGCATTTGGAAGGATGAAGGATATTTTTAGGTCTAAGATTCCAATGTGTCTGAAAAGAAAAGTATTTAATCAATGTATTTTGCCAGTGATGACCTACGGGCAGTAACCCTAACGCTCACAAGAACAACAGTGAGTAAACTACAAGTTGCGGAAAGAGCAATGGAGAGAATTATGTTAGGGATTTCTCTACGTGATAGAATACCCAATGCTACTATACGCAAAAGATCAGGAGTAGCAGACGTTATTGAAAGGATAACAACACTAAAGTGGAACTGGGCAAGTCATGTAGCAAGATCAGTTGATGACCGGTGGACAAAAAGAATTTTGGAATGGAGACCCCGAATATAAGCTTACAGAAATAGAGGTCGACCTCCAACGAGATGGACAGATGACATAAAAAGAGTGACTACAAATTGGATTCAGATGGCGCAAAATCGGACTAAGTGGAAAAGCATGCGAGAGGCCTATGTTCAGCAGTTGACGTTAGAGGCTAGTTGATGATGATGAAATGACGCTGCTTGTACGTGCTTGTAGACGCTGCTGATGAGTATATCACAAAAAAAAAACGAATGGAAAGTTTAATTTTACTCCTAGTTTTTCTTTGGACGAGCTTCAATTATGGGGTGGGGTGGCATATGTTAGGGACGTGCACACAGTTGCTGTTGATTGGCGGCGAAACTTCAAATGCCGATTGGTACGTTAATAACACAAAATTCACATCAGTGTTTTGTATTCAGAGTCTGTACTTTATTTCATAACAATGAAAAGAGCCTTTCAATACATTTGTTCGAGGTGGAATCTGCAAGTGGATAAACAGAAAAAATGTAATGTATAGTAAGAAAGTTTTACTTTGAATTGCATGATACACCTTGTATATATTTTGTACAGTGATTTGTTATTAAAAAAAATTAACAAATACTGCTGGGTACCTAAAGAGAACCGTTAACAGATAATATTGATAATTTTAGAATTTATAAGATGTCAACAGGTATGTCACTGTATTTACTTTGAAAGGTATCTGTTCTTTAATTTTAACAAGAATGTTTGTTAAAAAAGAAATAATATACCTCTTAGTTCGGTAAAATTGTGACCTTCAGTGATAAACATATGGCAATCCTCTTAAAACAGGTAGTAAATAAAATACAACACCAGCTTAGAATAAACAAATGTAGAGGAAATAACTTTAACAATTATGAACAGATTTTAATGTATGAACTCAAGGAGTTTTGGGATATTTTAGCACTAAATAATATTATATTTTATTTTAAAATAAAACTGAAAATGAAAATTATTCTCATACTTTCAGAATTTTGTTTGATTATTAAATGCCTTTTTTTCATCATCATTCGTTTTAATCGACCCATCTCTTCATTGTAAACAAACTGCATATTGGATTCAGTTATAACCTAGTACGAGGTTTGTCTTTATAGTTTTGCATGTGACCGCTTAGAGGGCGCCACCAATAAAAAACTTTCTACCCAAATGTAACCTCAATCTTTGTTGACATAAATCGAGAGTTTCATTATGATACTAAGTCGTGTAGACAGAGTGAATTTTTAAATTAGCAAGTCGGTCGAAAAATGGATCTTAACTGAGAACATTTTCGAGCAATAATTTTTTACAATTTTCGAAGAGGATTATCGCAACAGCAATGTCTCGCTAAAAAGTTGCTTAGTTTGGGAATTAATAATCACACCAGTTAACTATTTCCCGCTGGTATTGCTGATTTCAACGTGGTCTCTCCAGTCTCAGCGACGAATTCTACTCCATTGCTACTCCATCTACCTGTTCATAAATCTCGTCTTCAACAACTCTTTATTTATTTTGTTAATCATAGCTTTCTTTGTTAGTCAGTATGGCTCCAATTATTAGTTATATTGCGATTTAAAATTTACCCTATCATTTTTTGAAAATTATCTTTTACACAAACATCCTGATAATAACAAGCACAAGAAAAAAAAGAATTATCTGTAGCTTATTTTTATGAACGAGAGAGTAATTAGCATAATTTTAACTGGTACCTCCGACCACTCCATGGGCGTGCTCAAGATTAATTGAAAAATTACTTTGAATAATTGTAAAAAATAAATGAATTATTTCAGTGTTATAAAGTGTTATGTGTATGTAAACAAAAGTGACACACTCTTTTATCACACACTATATTAGAACTGACTGGCCTACATTAAAAAGGGTTTTAAAAAATTCACATTTTTTTTAATTTTTAAAAATTACAAAAGAGAAAAAGAGTTTTTAAAACCGTCTAAGGTATGTTAAATAGATGAATAAAAATATTAATATTAAACTTACATTCAGAACCAAGATTTATAATAACTGGCTCGATCATTTTATCAGTAATATTGTCCAGCTTCCACATTTTTTCCTCTTCTTTAATAGTGTGATTTACTGCCTTTTCCCAGTTTTCAGGTTTTACATTATTTACGGCCTCCAAAAACAACTGTTTAGCATCATGAATTTTATCTGTATTATCATGTATCTGAATTTATTATCTGTGCCCATATAAGTTCAATCGGGTTTAATTCACAATGATATGGTGGGGATCTAAGTACTGTCATTCCACGATTTTTGGCAATTTCATCAATTTCGTATTTTTAAAATTTTTCTTTATGAAGGGCACACAACGAATAAAGTTCCTTTCTTATAGATCCGGGATGGTATGTAATATTTTTTGAACTCAGCCAATTCTGCAAGTCTTTTTTTAACCACTTGGTTGTGGGCAGTCCTTCTATAAGTCTGGAGTGATAACTTGCATTATCCATTACTATTACACAGTTCTTAGGAAGAAGATCTATCATTTGTTCGAACCATTCTTGAAAGACATCAGCGTTCATGTCTTCATGGTAGTCACCGGTACGAGTTGATTCAAAAGTTAATAAACCACCTTCAACAAAACCGTCTGAACTGCCAATGTGTACTATTATCAGCCTGCGTCCCTTTCCTGATGGTGGGTTTAAACCAGTAGATAAGTTATTTACAAAAGCGTGCCTTTGACTTGTAACAGTTTCATCCTGCCAAAATTTATTTGGTGTATGACCCTCGTTGATCCATGTTTCATCAAGATAAAATATTTTTTCTTTTTTGGTTTCTCATTTCCTTTATGGTTCTTAGAAAATGTCTTCTCCATATGACAATATCGCTTATTTCTAATAAAATAGACTTTCTGGGATTCTTTTTCCAGCGGAAGCCTATTTCTTTTAAAAGTTTCCATAACGTACTTCGACTCATTTCTGGGTAATCCTTATAATCTCGAACTGAGACAAGAACTTTATCCAATGTTGGAAATTCTTGTCTAAAGAAGAATTCATGCACTTTCCGTCGAAGTCCTTCTTTAAAATGATATTCTATTTGAAATTTTGGTTTCCGTGGAGCATTACGTGGCATTTGAAAACTACCCATTTCTCTTCTTTAATAACTGTAAATCGTAGATTTCCCAACACCAAGTGTACTGCTAACTAACTCAACGGTCTCATCAACACTTTCACATAAACGTTTGTCTGTAAATGATTTAAAACAATTAAATATTAATGTTTTTTCATTAACTGTTAAAGGACCAATTTTTCGGCGTTTACACGGCAATTCCAAATTTTCCATAACACTAGTATACACAATAAACTGCACCTTGCAACTGAAGTACCTACTTTTACTGAACTGTTAAGAATTTTGAATACGCCACTTGGACCTTCCTACAAAATGAAAAACCCACTATCACATTTTCTGTGGAATAAGTTTAGAAGGTAATTATCTAGTCAATTACTGTCGTAGATTCCTGAAATTAAAGAATTAAATGTTTGATTGTTGAAACCCTTACTTCGTGGAATGCACTCATTTCAGATAAAATAAAACGTTTTATTTTATCTAAAGAATTAAACTTTATTTTGCAAATAAGTAGGTACTTATTAAACTTTTATTGGTTATATATAACCAATAAAATAAACATCTTACATTTCTTGCAAATTCATTAGTACCTGTTAACCTCCATCACTCCGACACTGGCAACCTTATTTAGGGATTAGTAACCCTCACAAGTATTGTATTCTATTCTGCTCCAACCTTTATACCTGGTGGTCATACTCAATTTAAAATTGTTTTCCTATATACTTCTGTAAACTTGTTGACAAATATCTGTTTTTCATTGAGTCACCCGTATCAACAGTTTAGGGATTTGCATACATAATTTATTGTTTTATTACTCTCTCATACATACAAATACACTATAACAATCATTATAACAATTTAGTTATATTGCGATTTAAAATGACAGAAAAACTGTTTCTAAGGTATATCCCTATAATTTTTTGAAAATGATCTTCTACACAAACCTTCTGATAATAAAAAGCACAACAACAAAAAAAGAATTATCTAACTTGGTGCAGTCGGTCTGCACCCATACAAATATTTTGGCTATTCACTTTTATTAATATATATATAATTTCAACGCATTTTAAGCACGTGTTTGTGATTTATTTCACAATAAACAAGAACAATAAAAAATATAATTTGTTTTTTCACATAGTTTGGGATGTGCGCAATAAGGGTCGGAAAAAGAAATCATTTACAAGAAATAATTAAGTTTATATAAAATGTAGAAGTTGGACAGCTGTTGACATTAACCGACTAATAAAAATGTTCCTTCTTATTTATCTAATTAAAATTAACAAAGTACAACTGTTTGCCGATCAACTGATCCAACAAACTCCCGTTTTACACATCGAGACAATGAAATTCCCTACCAACCAACACTCCGTCCACAATTTAATCCTATTCGACAATCACCATGCTAATTGAAAAGTCCAGTTGGCAGAGACTCTTATCTAATCGCAAGATCCGTGTGCCAAACATTGCCAACACCAACGGCCACCAGGCTCCCGAGTTTCGCTGATTTCCGTCGTCGAAACGTCACCGCGCTGAGAGAGAGGTCATACTGTAGGCTGACCATACACTATCACGACTTATATTTATGTATAACGTTTGGCATTACTTATTCTTTGGTAAAATAAGAAATATCACATGTCTGCAAAACAGTTAAAGTTACGAGCCGTTGTCGCATTGTGATAAAAGCAAAGAGGATGATGATGATGTTTTTTCCTTTTGGAACTTGGTATTTCTGCTTCCAGATTTTTCAGATTTTTTCTTTACTTTTATTAGTAACGAAGTTTGAAAATAACGAGACAATCATTTGTAATGCTAGCTTCTGGTACTCATACAATGTATGTTCTAGCATTGTTGTGCTTACAACAGTAAAAAATCTCATAATATCTCTGAAGAAACGGTAATATCTTTTTGCCTAATTTCTGGAAAAATTCGACAACCGTTACGTTTTTGCATACATTACATACAGCGTAATATAATATAGCTTATTTGCAAATTACATTAAGTACGGGTGGAACAGTCAAATAATTGCATATGCAGACCGATATTGCTATTATTGCAAAGAACAGAAAAATAATGAAAGAAATGCTTGAAGAAATAAGAAAGGGGAGATAATGGGCTAAGATTAAATCAAGAAAAGACAAAAATATTAAGATTAGGGAAAAAACCAATAAAGGAAAAAATCAAAATAGGAAGTTCTGAGTTTGAAGAAGTAGAATGCTTCAAATACCTAGGAGTTACAATAAGTAAATCCGGAGAAAGGAAATCTGAAATAAAAGAAAAATATTAGCAGCGAATAAAGCTTATTTTGCAAACAAAAGATTACTTAAAAGCAAAACACTGACTAAAAAAAGTAAGATGAGCATTTATAACACCATAAATAGGCCAATATTATTATATGCAGGGGAAACAATGACGATGGTTAAAAAAGATGAAGAAGACTTAAGAATAGCAGAGAGAAAGATTATGAGAACCATACTAGGACCAATCAGAACAGAGCAAAATGAATATAGAAGCAGAACAATTGCAGAAATTAAGGAAGAACTTAAGGAAGACATCGTAACTAAAATAAAGCAATACAGAGTTAGATGGTTAGGTCAC